CGGGACTTGCCAAGCAGGTTCCAGAATCTTCTCGTTCCTCAGTGTTACCAACACTACCGGGACATCCTATATCCGCTCAGCAGTACGCAGATGCCCTGCAGTGACAACTTTCCAATATAGAGCATTGGTGTGACCCGAAGTTACAGGTTAATCTAAGCCTCAACTTTAATGAAGATCCGTTACTATAACGCAAACCTATTTTTCAAACTTTCGTCGTCCGTGGGATTTAAACCCTAGACCTGCTACTTGGAGAGAGTGATGACTTGACCACTTCACTAAGCTGCTACACCCCCAATTGGAATAATAATAATAATCGTAATAACAATAATAACAATGAGAATAATAATTGAAACAATAATAATAATAATTGGAATAATAATCGCAATAACAATAACAACAACTGGAAAACAGTAACAATTATCAAAATAATAATAACAATAATAATTATAATAACAATAACAATAATAACCCTTCTCCAAATAACAATAATAACAACAACAATAATAATAATAACAATAACAACAATAACAACAACAACAACAATAACAATAACCAGTGTCAGCATTTAAACTAGAATTGGTATCTCCTGAGGGTGAGCATACCACCAATACAAACCTCTTATCTAATAAAGAAGTAGATTTTATTAATTTGTAGAATGAAATTGATGATAAACTTAACTTAGAAGATAATAATTATAATAAAATTAATGAACAATTAAATGATCTCTGGATAGATTTTAAAGATATTGTTGAAATACTTGGATTAAACTCCGGAGAAATTAACCTCAATATGGATGATAATATTCAAACAAATCAAGTAAAAGATGCTTTATTCACAACTGCTGAAGTTTTGGAAGTAACCATTAATGTTTTGGTTGATACTGGCTCTAAAGGATGTGTTGTTGCTAAACATTTCCTTGATCGAGTAAATCGTAGTATTGATGAACCAAGTAATGTTCAAGTTGTTGACATTACTGGTAACAAATCAACGCCTCTAGAACAAGTTAAAAATGTTCCTGTCTTACTTGATGCTAAACTTATATATATGGATATGTTGGTAACTAAGTCAAAAGAATATAATGTAGTTCTTGGCAATGAATATTTGGATAAAGTTCAAGCTACTATTGATTATTATAGTGAAGTTATGAGTATTGGAGTTGCTGATCAAATTGAACATATTCCAATATCTTGCAAGCAATGAATAGAGGATCCTAATACTATATATCCTATAACTTTTAAAAACATCTACTCTAATCAAGAATTAGAGTTGGAATTAGAAGAAGAAGATATAACTGAACCAACGTATACAAGTTGGTAACAATTTTATACAACTGGAGGACCAACTTATAGCCAATATCAAAATAGAGAATATTAATAATCCTCTCCAATACCAACCAGATGATATATTTAGACTTATACAACTAGAAATTAAGGAAATAAAAGAAAGTTAAGAGGAAAATCAGAAAATATCTATTCCTATTACAGAAGATAAATCAACTTTTATTGGCAATACTCTTGATAATCAACAACAACAAACTATAACTTAATTACTTCTGAATAATGCTGATATATTTGCTACTGAATTTTCTGAACTACGTAAAACCAATGTTGTATATCATACTATTCATACTGGTGATTCCTACTCTATTAAACAACGAGCTTATAGAGCATCATCTATGGAACAAGAACATATTGAAAAGGAAATTGAACAAATGGAAAAAGATGAGATAATTCGAAAATCTAAAAGCCCTTGGAGCTCTCCTGTTGTTCTGGTCAAAAAGAAAAATGGAAAACTAAGATTTTGTGTGGATTTTAGAAAATTAAACAATGTTACAAAGAAGGACAATTATCCTCTACCAAGAATTGATGAAATGTTAGACTGCCTTGGTAATGCTCAATGGTTTATATCTCTTGATTTAACTTCTGGTTATTGGCAAGTGGAAGTTAAAAAAGAAGATAAAGAAAAGACTGCATTTGTTACTAAATATGGTTTTTATGAATTTAATGTGATGCCTTTTGGACTTTGTAATGCTCCTTCTACTTTCCAAAGGCTCATGGATATTGTATTAAGACCTGTTCTCTAGAAAAAAGCCATGGTGTATATTGATGATATAAACATTTATTCAAACTCTTTTGAACAACATATTGAAGATATACAGGAAGTTTTTAATTTAATTAAACAAGCCAATCTCCGAATTAATCCTAACAAATGCCATTTTTGCACGAATGAAATGCAATTTCTGGAACATATTGTTGGTATAAATGGTATAAAACCTGACCCACAAAAAGTCAACAAACTTGAAAAACTACCTCCTCCTAAAACCCTTTCCCAACTAAGAGCCTTTCTTGGCCTTTGCATCTTACTATAGACATTTTATAGAAGGATTTTCTAAAAAGGCAAAACCTTTGCTAAAACTATTAAAAAACATGAACCTTTCGATTGAGGACAAGCTCAAGATGATGTTTTTAAATGGCTTAAGCAGTGTTTAACTCACTCCCCTATCTTACAATACCCTGATTACTCTAAATCTTTTATATTATTTACCAATGCTTCTTATCAAGGATTAGGTACAGTTTTATCCCAAATTAAAAATGGCAGGGAGCATGTAATTGCTTATGCTAGTCGCATTCTAACTCCTGCAAAAAATAATTATAGTACTACTGAACTAGAATGTTTAGCAGTTATTTGGGCTATTAAATATTTTAGGCATTATATCTATGGATCGAGATTTATTCTTATCACAGATCACAAGGCACTACAATGGTTGTTAAACTCTTCGACGATTAATGATAACAAAAGGATAACCCAATAGAGGATGAATACCAGTTTGATATAAAATATTGAGCTGGTAGCCGAAACCAAAACGCTGATTTCTTTTTTCGCTTATCCGAATACTTGAAAGATAATGGATAACAAAACATATAATCAGCTATTTCAATATCGAATCTCCTTAACATTTGACTTGGACGCAACTAATATAGAAAAATCTCAGATCCAGAAAGAAGTGAAAAAGTATCTTATAGAAAATAATATATTGTATAAAAAAAATAATAATACACTACAAAGAGTAATTAAAGCCGATCAGAAACACATTATCTTATATACGTTGTATGATGAATAAGGGGTGCATTTAAGCATAGTATCTATTTACAACAAAATAAAAGAAAGATATTATTGGCCTACAATGTATGATGATATCAAAAATTATATTCAAACGTGTGATATTTGTTAACGTAGAGGACATGAAGTTAGACGGCAAGATCTATTACCTTTAGAAGTAAAATATCCTTTCCATAGGGTTGAAATTGATATTAAAGGACCATTATCTCCTACAAAACAAGGCAACAGATATATTATTGTAGCAATGAACTATCTTACCAAGTGGCCTGAAGCAAAAGCAATATCTAATATCAAGGCTACAACTGTTGCTAAATTTATTTATGAAGATATTATTTGTCAACATGGAATACCTACAATACTGCTTTCTGACCGAGGGAAAAACTTTTTAAGTGATATTGTTGAGGAACTATGCAATAATTTTTAAATAAAACATCACAAATCATCAGCTTATCAACCTCAAACTAATGAAATGATTAAGCAATTTAATAGAACTATTGGTGAAGCTTTGGCAAAAATAACAAGCAATAAATACAAAGAGTGTGATGAAATTCTCCCTTTTGTGTTACTAGCTTATCGTACTATGAAGCACAATACCACAAAATTTATACCATTCTCCCTTATATATGGAAGAAAAGCAAAATTACTAATAGAAACAATAATAGAAATGTATTATGAAGAAAATGAAACATTCCAAGAAGCTCTCTTAAAAAGATCATTTGAAATTGAAGATGTTTTATTAAAACAACAAAAAGAAGCTTTAGAAAATATTCAAGAAGCACAAAAAGTACAGAAAGAATACCATGACAAAAATATTAAACATGATAAATTAAAAGTTGGTGACAAAGTTCTAGTTGCCAAATCTTTTCTTAAAAATGTGTTCTCTGCTAAGTTGGAGGAACAATTTATAAGTCCTTATATAATTCATGACATATTAGATCTTGGTATTTACAAGCTACGGACCTTAGACAACAAAAAAGTAAAAGATCCTGTTCATGGAAACCGTCTAAAACTTTATTATGATAGAGAAATTAAGGATCTTAAGTTGTTATCACACAGAACAATGCAAAGAAATAGATCGTATAACTTTAATATTTATAAATACACCCTCTGTTCTAGCATTTGCTCCAAATTTCCCAAATTCTTAAAAATTCTTTAAAAAATTAAATTTCAAGTTTTTGAAAAACAACTTTTTAATTTTTTGACAATCTTTAAATCATTAAATTATTCCTACAAAATCCTTGTTTTAAAAAAAAAAATGGAAATGCAAGTCCTTGAAAATTCTTTTTTTAGATTATTCTCAGTTGAAGTATTACAGGGCCTACAATTATTCTTGACAGCGTGGAGACAAGAAGTGTATACTAATAAATATTTAAGAATTGACTAGGAGACAATTGCTTTAGTGAATGAAGATGAAGCAAGAATTGAAACTTCTTTAAATGAATTCCTCCAATATGCTTTCGTAAACCCTCCTGATTACGAATCCCTGTTCGAAGAATATACAGACTATAAAAATTGGAATACATTATATAAAACAATCACTCAAACAGCATATACAGAGACTGATATTGAGCAAAATGATGATATCGAGGTTGAAAACTCTAATGAACCATACCAAATAAGAGATGAGCCAGAAGAAAGAGGATCTGTAAATGAAGTATTTCTTAACAACGATGAAGAATCTAATAAAGTTATAAAAAACTGACCCGAAAATAACAATGAAGTCTTAACTGAAGTATTGGAAGAAGAAGATTTTGCAGTAACAAAAATTAAAAGAGATTTAAGTATCAACACTATCCAAAGTTGTATATTTGTCTCACCATTCATAGCTGATGATGATTTACAAAAGTGCAAAGATATCATCAACAAAATTAGCAGATTAAGTTCAAGAGAAGAAGATAGAATTCCCCGTCTTGAAGCCACATATTATTTGGAAGAACTTTTTAAAAAAAACAAAGATAATTATTATATTTCAGAAAAATTCAAGAAAATACTAAAGGGGAAGTTTGGACAAATTAGAGTAATGAGAATAACAACTCAAGCCAAATGAGTTTTTGCGCTATATCAAAAATATGGCTTGAAAAACCTGTATGATTCATTGAAAACATATGTTATGACTATTGAAAGATTGTCATTAAGTCAATTTGAAGAACTTATACAATAGTATTATAGATACTTTTCTTATTCGTTAGATTATTATTATTTCTTTTCAATATTTTATTAATTTTATATTATTATTATTTTTATACAAAAAAAAAAAAAAAAAACTTTAGACGAAAATACCAAAAATAGCAATAGATTATTATTTAAAACATTTTATTCAATAATTTTATTAGATATAATATTTTAAAAATTTATTAAAAAGAGTAAAATTGATACAAAAAATAATAATGAAAAGAGCAACTATCTCTTTCCAAGTAAAACCCCAACTATTTTCCAACTCCTCAATCCTACCCCACAATACCCAATTCTCCATCCACAGTACTTGATTTTCTGATGCCAAATTCGAGACCTGGACCATTAAACTATTCTGCTCCTGCTGCATTTGCCCAAGCCGCAAGTTGAAGTTGCGTTCTCGACGTGCAACCTCATTAGAGTCAAACTCTTGCAACCGGGCTTGCAAGTTAGCGACTTGGTTTATAAGGCATTGGATTACAGCCGAAACGGATTGATTTCGAGAAGTTTGAAGCATCTAGAAAACTGACAAGCTAAAGTCATTAGAAAAAAAATACTTTTTCCAAGTGATATACTTAAAAACAAGAGTAAAAGAAAGAAAGAAAAAGAGGAAATGACAAAGGGAAAAATATCCACTGAGGCTTGTGTTTAATCATAACAAGTATGAAGGCACTAGCTTACTCAGACATGAAAGACCGGCAGTTGTCTCGAAAGGTTTAGCTCACGGTCTGAAGAGTATACACACCTTCAACAAACTACAAGCGGCAAGACAGACAAAACAAAAGAAGTTTTCTACAAGATTTTTAGCTAAAAAGAAAAGAAGAAAAAAGTATTAGACAAGAAAGTTTTAATAAAAAAGAAATTTTTAGAGAAGAAAACATAGAAGTAAAAAAGTACTAGGAGGAAAACTTGGCTGCAAAAATTTTAAGAACTAGAAAACGGAAGAAAATTCAGAATATAAATAAAGTTGACTAATAGACAAATTTTCCTATAGAAAAAAAATTTTTTATTTGCATGGTGTTAACAAAGAAAATCACAAACAAAAATGATATGATTAACTAACTTGAAAACCAAAGAACAATTTAGAATACGAAAACTAAACTTTACACAACAACAATATGAATTTTTCCATGCCAAGAAAAAAATTGTTGCATGGTATTAACAAAAAAATCACAAACAACAATGATGTGATTTACTAATTTTAGAAAAAGATGAACAATTCCCAAAGCAAAAGCTAATTTTAGTACAAAAACTGGTTAAAGTTTGAAGATCAGACAAAAGAAGAATTAAGAATTCCATAAAAACACATGCAATATAGGAATTTTGACAAAAAAATCATAGTAAAACCAAATGAATATGTCATAATGAACTACATTACGTCAACAATCAATACATGTTCTTAAATTTTACAGAGTAAAATTTTTGAAAGAAGGAATAGTATTATATTACTATATTTTAGCATTGGTATAGTTTCACAAATTACTATTTATAGCCTAGTTTAAGTACCACGATTCAAATGTGTACTATTAGATTTATTAGTAGATTTTTTATCGTTTTGTAATTGGAGTTATATTAGCATAATATTTTGACATAGTACCTTATCATAGTACCTTAGCATAGTACCTTAGCATAATACCTTAGCATAGTACCTTATCATAGTACCTTAGCATAGTACTTTATCATAGTACCTTATCATAGTACCTTATCATAGTACCTTAGCATAGTACCTTAGCATAGTACCTTAGCATAGTACCTTAGCATAGTACCTTATCATAATACCTTGCTATAGTACCTTAGTATAGTACCTTAATATAGTACCTTGTCATAGTACCTTACTATAGTATCTTAATATGTTTTTAAGATAACAATAACATATTTTTAGCATGTCAAAAAGCTATATAAACTCTGCCTTTTTTCCCAAGGCAGGACAGGTTCTCTTACCTAAACTTTTATTAAAAGTTTCTTTTATCTTAAAGCCCTTTCTTTAGCTTAGATTTCTACCTCCAAGTCCTGTTCTTTATCTAATAAACTGATACTCATTTTTGACTATACTCTTACCACATTGTGTATATCTTTTATCCTTCACTTATTATGTTGTGAAGGCTTTTTTTTATTGTGTTTTTTTTATATTTTTATTTAGTCTTAGTATTGTTTTTATTCTTTATCCATTACGTTGTAAAGGCTTCTCCTATTGTGTTTGTTTTATATTTTTGTTTTGTTTTGGTTTTGTTTTTATCCTTCACCTATTATGTTGTGAAGGCTCTCTTTTATTGTGTTTTTATTATATTTTAGTTTGTTTTTTATCCTTCACCCACTACGTTGTGAAGGCCTTCCTTTTGGTATTTTGGTTATATTTTTGTTTGGTTTTTATTTTTCAATCATTATGTTGTGAAGGCTCTTTTTATTGTGTTTTAGTTATACTGCTTTATTATTATTTTTGAGTATTCTCTTTTAGGTTTCTTGTGTTTTATTCCATATTTTGTTTTAGTTTTTGTATCAGTTTATTTTGTCCTTCCACACATTCTTTGCCCTTTGCACGTTAAGTTAAGTAACATAATTAACTGACTTAGGTTTTCTATGTTACAGTACCTCTACACGGTTTAGCAGTTATACCATTATATCTCTTATATGTGGAAAAGTTATAAAAAGAAAGCCTTTGCCCTTCTATTCAAGAGAGGATCTCCTACCTTTTAATAGTATCTAGCTCTACCTTCTTACTATTCTTATCTTGTATAAAATGATATACTCTCTCTAGGGTAATCCTAGTAGATGAGGTTATTCTCCTTGATCTATTATAAATAAAGTATTAACTTATATACTAGCCTCATACTAAACTGTTTGCCTTCTGCTAGTGGAAGTAGTGTATATTCCACTTCCACCCCGTGTACACCCCAATAGTAGGGTCCCTGCACCAGGTGACCTTGTTACCTTGCTACGTGTTGACCAAGAAGGCCATAGCATTGTAATAGTAGTTCTTATACACTACTTGCCAACAAGTTTAAAGTTTATCACTTACTGAAAAAACTTAGTACTGTGCAGGCTTAGGTGGATAGTTAATTCTAGTAAAAGAAAACTTACGCTCTTTTAGCAGCTTCAAGTGTTTTTTTTTTCTTTCGTATTTTGCCAACCTTGCCAAAAATTTTGGCAAAAAGTAGGCATTTCAGCTTACCCCTTCCAAATGATCAGCATTGTTTACATTTATCTAATTCAGACAAACTTAGTAGAATGCAGCCACATGTTTGTTTTGTTTATTATGGCATAAGAATAAGATCAATAACTTTGTTTAAGAAATGCCTGATCCTGGTGATGTATCTGGAATGAGTCCTGATATTAAAGTAAAGCTTTACAGCCAAGATATATTAATTAGTTGCAATTAGTATATAATTTTTACTTTTATACCTAGCATGGGTTATAATAGTGTATTTTTTTTCTTTTTATTTTTTTTGTTTGTTTTTTTTTAAGGTGGTTCATCAGGACTCCTATGTCTTTTTTTTTGCTTTTTTTATCTTTGTCCTATTATGATGGAACTATATTTAGAACTTTTTTTTTCGGTTAAATGTTTTTTTTTTTTTTTGTTTTTCTCTTTCTTTTTCTAAATAGTTTTGTTTTTTTTTATAGATTAGTATATTTTTTCTTTCCTTACAGAAAAGTAAGAGATAAACTATTCTGTCTAAATCTAAATAAAAAAAGTTTAGAAAGAAGGATAGATAGTCTTGACGAGCCGGTGGAAACCTTTTGCTGAAGATTTATTCTTTTTAAATATAAAAAAGAATATTTTGAAGAAGAATCCTGTCTATAGCAGGTCGCATATAGTTAATTTGAACTCTGGTCACAAAGAGCAGATGAGCTAATACTTGTAATTTAAATGCTATTAGGGTTTATACTCTTCGAAAATTTTAATATTTCACAATATAATATTATAAAGCCTAATAAAGTAAAAGAAAGACTGCTAAACTGTTAAAAAAAAAAATAATAATAATAAAGTAGTTTAGTTATTATTTTACCAAATAGCAGATTTAAAATTTGAATCCCACAAATAATAAGTTTGAAAAATAAGCCTATATTTAGTAATAATTATTTAGCAATAGTTGAATTTTAGAATTTGTAATCTTGATAATATCATCTTGTATAAAAGCTTTGATATATAAATACTAAAAAACCAAAATAATTAAAACTAGTTTGGAAAACCCAAGTAAGAAAGTAATTAAAACCTTCAACAATACTATAAAAAAAAACAAATTTGGAAGTTTAAACTAAAATTAAAGAACTGAATAACAATAGATTTTTAAATAAGAAAATTTATTAACCAGATTGCTAATTTAAAAAACTAAAAATTAATATTAAGTATCTGGTTAACAAATCTTTAATTGATGATCTGTTATTCAACAGATGTATGATTATAGTGTAACATAATACAGATCACTAAGTAAATCCAATATAAGGTGAATGTGAAAAATTTCTAACATTTAAAACGATTATATAAAATTACTATGTAAACAATACATTGTTTATATAGAGATTTTACATAGT